ACACAGAGCCGCCAAAATTTCATGGCTGACACTAGTTGGACAGTTCAATCTATTTTAGATTAGGGGTTTAACAGCTATAAATGTGCATATTAGAGTGTATACCATAAACAACTATACAAATTTGATTAAATTTTAAATAATTAAAGCCAGGATTGGCTTAATCACTTTTGCAATTTGATAAATAAACTAATTAGATTTTAACCCCAACATAAATGACCAACCTTCCAATATTGGCATATCTAAGAAGTATATTGATGATAGCAAAATATTATTTCCTTGAATAAATTTCATAATTTTTTTCAAAATCTTCGGTTTTATGCCCTCATAATGTACAAGCTTGATACTCGCACCATCTATAGTTGAGATGTTTGGCTAAGCTTGAAAAAGTTTATTTTAAGTGATTTTATATTTTCAAACATAATCGAATACTTCACTTTTTATGGTAAAAAAGAGTTATATATTTTAAAAGTAACTCTTACTTTACCATGAAAATAAGCAATTTAATATTTTCAAAATACGAATATTGAAAAATATTTATTTACCTATAAGTTATTTTTTTAAGAGTAGCCAAACATGACATTGTCTTGCTTACCGTATACAAGATACCGGATTTTGATATTATTGAATAATTTTATGGGAAAAATTCAAGAGTCAAGGATTAATTATGACAAATTCAATTTTCAGGTATTGAGTTTCAAAATGTAAAACTTGGGTATTAGCTAATTAATTAAAAATATTTATTAATTAAAGTTAATAAGGTCACAAATATACAATTAATTGTCACGTATACATAATTATAGGCCACAACTTTTTTTTACTGATCATATATTGTCAAATTAATTGATCACATATTATTGCGAGGTCATAAATAAAGAATTTTATAGATCACAATTTATTTCATTAGTCACAAATTAAAAAAAAAATTACAGCTCACAGTTTAATAGTTAATCATAAAGAACCAAATCGTTGGTTATATACACCAAACCCTCCCCCCCCCCACCAATACTTGATCACAAATTAACCAAATGTTAGTCACAATCACTGTACTAGAAGGAAATGCCAAGCCACTTATTTAACGATCAACGGCAATCATTGACCATTAATGCGTGCCCAGGCGCACATAATTATCTTTTATTTATTTATTTATTATTTTTACAATTTTTCTACGTTGAAACTTAAATGTTGATTTGTTCACTTCATTGGTTCTAAATTTAAAATAATCGCTTGAAACCTTGAACATGGGAAATCTCCCAAAATTTTTTATTATTTATTACTTAATATTTACATTTGGAACTTAACTTTTAGTTTAAAACTTTGAAAAAATATATAAATTTCCTACAAATATATTTTATATGTTTGGCAAATATTATTTTTAATTATTAAAAAAAATTCGGTTGATTAAAAATTAAAATAAGAAAAAGCACTTTTACGCCTATTCCTCGCCTAAACTCACATAACCCATAACTTGGCCTCCATGTATCGTCACGCATTACGTCTTTTAGAACACTGGTCACAATCACAATCCTAGCCCGCCTTGGCCACAACACTAGTACAACAACCGCCACACAATCGTTGCCTGTACAACACCAACACAACCACCGCCAACAACAAAACGAACACAACCGAACGACAAGTCTCTTCTAGCGGTGATGCCAATATGCAAGGCGATTCAACATCCTAAACTGGTAGATCCACCACCACAAAACCGCCACCACACAAAACACCATCCAAACACAACCTAGCTGTTAGATCCACCATGCAACCAAGCAAACTACGAACGACAGAAAAAAAGAGTCGCGGGCAAAGGCGTTTACAGTGCCACCATCTTCGGTAATGGATGGAGCTCTTCTGTGAGAAGGGAAAATGTGCGGTGAAGCACAAACCTACACAAATAGGAGAAGATTTCAGCCGTCACTTCATGCACAGATCGTCACCTCAGCACTTTCTTTCGTAGAACTCTAATCTCTTCATTACAGCAGTATCGCGGTGCGCTTACGTGGTGGCAACAACAGACAAAGAGGAGGACATGATAGGGAGAGGAAGATGGAGAGTAAATGAGAAGAACGAAATGATAGGGTTTGTAATTGAATTGTATGAAAATATTTAATATTTAATTATTATGTTAATACCTAATTTGTGAATAATGAAACTTTAACCTTGATTTTTGAATTGTAATAGATAGGGTTTGTAATTGAATTGTATGAAAATATTTAATATTTAATTATTATGTTAATATCTAATTTGTAATAATGAAACTTTAACCTTGATGTTTGAATTGTAATAGTTAAAAAACTGGTGTTATGTAATTTCCTCTAATTTTAACATGTATGCGCAACTCTTAATCTTTCTGGTGTGAAAATTTCACAAGGTCCACTCATGCAGTCACCTAAGGCCTCACATTTAAGTAGGCCACCGAATTTTAGGAACTTATTTGCAAGTAGTTTCATTATCATAATGTTCGAGTGAAAATTTTCCTTCTATAATATTTTTATTCTAAAATGGATCAAAGGATTTCACCAATTCCGCTTCCATAATAATAAAAAAGTAAAAACACATATTTCATAAATTAAATTTTATAATAGAATTTCTAAAGCAAAATAGAGTAATATAATAAATAAATATTATCAATGGTAAAGTATATAGGTAACAAAATAATAACTAAAGATTAACAAAGAATTTTTTCGTCAGTGATAATTTAAAAAAAAAAAAGAAAATTAATTGCCTTCAAATAAAATAATTAAAGAGATTAAATATTCCATTTAAAAAATTATGACTGTAATTAAATGTTATTAAAAATTAATTTAAGATTATAACGAATTTGTAACATAGAAAATAAATAATTTTAACTTATCTAAAGAAAGTTTGTCAGTATAATAAACATTAAGAGTCTGTTTGAGCCTCTCTTTTTTTGTCCAAAATATATTTTTGAATAGTATTTTAATAGAGAATGTGTGGTTATAAAATAAGAAAAATTTTGATTTTACATGAAATGTTATTTTATTAAAAAATGTGTGACTGAAGATAAGAATGGAAAAAATGTATTATGACAATAATGAGAACCAAACAAAGGCTAAATAGTATGACATACTTGAATAGATGTCATTGTCATAACTTATTAGAATAGGAAAAATAAACTTTTATAGGTGACTCTAGGGATGTTAACGAGTCGAGCCAAGCAGGCTTGCGAGTCGAATCTCAAGGCTCGGGCTCGACTCGAGTAAAATCAAACGAACTTTTTTCGAGCCCGAGCCAAACTAAGCAAACGCTCAACAAAAAAAATAAGGCTCGGCCTTAGCGAGCCGTGCTAGAGCCAAGCCAACTCAATTCTCTCTCTCACTCTCTCTTTTAATTATTGTGGCAAAGGCAGCTGCTGGCTGTCTTATTTAAGGTAGTAGCCAGCAAGGCAATATTTTTTAATTAAGGCCCGAGCCGTCCGTGCCCGGAACCTAAAAATTGGACTCGGCCAAAGCCTTGGCTCAGTTCTCCCAAGGCTCGGGCCGAGCCGGCACGGACTTTTTTTGGGCTGAGCTGACGAGCCTAATTGACATCTCTAGGTGACTCCAACAACTTATTTATCGATGATGAACTATTGAAGTACCGTTGGTGATTGCTCACTACATCATCGAAAATATTGTCATGGTAATTGTTTACAAAGGTACATTGGTTATAGCCAATAATATTAATATTTGTTATTCCATCAAAAATCTCTTGCAATTATTATTTTCCGTGAAATCATCTTCATTAATACTATTGGCGATCATTGATGAAACTTATTGCTTCTCTGTTTAATTTTTTATTATTATATTCAAAATGGCACATTCAATTTTTCCCCCCATAATCCTTAAATGTTTCACTGTCTTTGATTATTTGAATACTTATTAATAATTATAAACTAATTGACACGTTCTATAAAATTACATAAAACTTTCTTAATGTTAAACCAAAAGATAGAACGTTCCTCTATCTCTATATAATTTATTCTGATAGGCTGAATCACTATATGACCCTATTTAACATAAAACTAATGGATAATAATGAAATATAGTATGGTTATGGAGTACACTTTCTTCTTTTCCTTTATTATTAAATCGGTTGAGTGCGAAGAAAAGGATTGGCCTTTCAAAATTGGATACTAATGAGTCAAGTCCGATATGTATCAATAAGGACAATGCTTATCTATTCACTAAAAACATGGTGTTTATTTTTCCTTTTACCAATTCGATCTCACATTTATTATCATTATAATTAAAAAAAATTGTCAAAATATATACATACTTTTGACAAAAAAAAATTCATTATAATGTATATAACTATTACATAGAGGTGAACGGAGATTCTAAGTTGCGATGCCTAGTAGAATGTTTGGCCTCTTCGATGCCCTGAAGTAGTGAACCCACCCCGGATTATTTACTTAGTTTTTAATAGAACCATCCAATAAGCAACGAGTGGGATTTGAAAAAAAAGAAATTCTTACCGCTTTAAAGCACCGAACAAAAAAGTAAAAAGTCAAATATGCTAGTTTTATTATTATTTTTTGTAGTCCCAATCTTATTTAATTTTAGTGGTCCTATCTACTACTTGGAATGTAATGATTTCACATCCATATTGGCAGTGTCATTAAAATTGCACTAAATGATAAGTGGTCATATAGAAATTTGGTGCGGAAGTTCATCATCATGGTTTAATTAATTTCCCTATTATTTCTTAAGTCACTTCGATGCATTCTCAAATTTCTACATATTTAGAAGACTTGCAACATCAAAATGTCTAAAAATCAGATAATTGAAACGAAAAAAAAAATGTAAAAAGAATTTTGTGTTTGAGCCCATTAATAGTCCTTTTTTAAATATTAGACATGAGGGGTGTCATTAATAATCAACTTAGATATACTCAATTATGGCAATTAAGTTTATGTTACATTGAGTGTTGTACACCTGGTTGAATATATATATATATATATTCAAGAATTCACTTGTAACACAACAAAATCATATCTTAATTAGAGAAAATTCGGCAATGTACAAGATGTATACACTAGTGTGATCATTTGAGGTCCCCCCAAATTAAAAACCACAAACCCTAATTTTACTCTCAATTCAATAATGGGGATCAGTCTTAAACCTACTTCTTTTAAAAACAAAAATTCTTTGTCACGCCCCTTTCCACAATTGGTGGAGCTTCTTATTGGTACCAACTTTTGTGCCAATGGTACCAACAAAAAGTTCTCCATTAATCAGTGTTTTGCTTCTTTCTAGCTTGTCAAATCTATAACAATAAACTAATTAATTTAAGTACAATCAAAATTAAGCTATATCACATTAATTTATTAAACATGGCTGAAAAATGCTTTGCATCTGCTTTCCAACAAGTTTCAATGTCTTGTGCAATGTTCTTAGCATCCATTGATGCCCCAAGAAGGCCACGTTTGGTAAACCCTACTGCATATAGCCCACATTCTCCTTTCCAGCCATTTGGAAATGGTCTTTTTGGTAGCCCATCTTTCTCCGAAAACATCTCTCTTTCCTGAGGAAAAAGAAAGGCCGAACATGGCCATATTTTAGTTCTTTCAACTTATAATTATGTTTGGTACAAAAGACTGAATGCATACGTCAATTTCGTCATACGATCTAGTATAGTTCGATTCAATAACGCATACCAAATATACACATGGAATGCTTTTTATAGTCAAGAAAAAGGGATAGATACCTTTAGCCAAGATGGTACACTACTTTTGTATCCAGTTGCCAGGACAATTGCATCGAAATTTTCTGATTTGCCATCTACAAATTCTACAGATTGGCGCCTTAATCTCTTAATGCTTTGAAATACCTGTAAAAATGACAGCCATTTCAGTATTTCACGAAAATAATTTGATACTCATACATTGGAAATTTGGTATAGAAACAGGAAAAAAGTAAATAAGGGGTCAATATTTATAGAACATCAGAGTTGAAAATGTTCTTATTAGTGGAATACATTTACGGTGCATTTCGTAACATATATTAAACAGTACTCAATAATATTCAAATTGTGTCCATCACCATATCGACACGGTCTAATGCTATACAACAAAAAATACTTAAATTTTTCAATAATAATGGTTTTTTTTTTTTTTAATTTACCTAAGAAGACCAAAAAGGAGGGTGGCAAAGGTAATAAAGGAATCAATTTGAAGTCCATGAACTCTAACAAAATTTAAAAAAAAAAAAATGCATCATTTTTTAAATTTCTTGTAATTGTTTGACCAAATATGGTGATTTATGTCCCACTTGAAATGTCATTTAACAAAGCAATGATATCATTGATGAAGGCTAAAATCGTTGGATACAACGAAATAAACACTGTAAAAGGTGATGGCATAATAAAATAAAAGTGACGTTATTTGTGCAGATGGACAAATTAAAGCATACCCTGATGTCTCCACTCTTGATCTTGGCTAGGGTTCCGACGTCCAAAACCGGTGTTTTCCCTGATAGGTTCTTCAACTCAAGAGGGCCTACTCGAGGCCGGTTGAGGCCATACCGTCCTGTGTCCCCAAGTATAAGCCAGGACAAGACTAATAGGAACCGGTCGACAAGACGAATAGGCAGCCATTTGAGTAACCACATGGACAGCCCGAAAGTTGATCTCCCCAGCATCTCTTGTGGTAGAATGTGCACCTAATAGCATCAACAAATTTGGGGTCATATAAAAAGTTATACCTAAAGATGGGACTGACAGAAATAAAGCATAAAAGATGAAATTGATTGGTACTTTACCATTCCCAAACTCCATATGATAGAGGGATTACTTTACAGTTAAAAAAGTTATTATTATTATTTTATTTTTTTTATTATGAAACGAAATATTGAACTTGTCAAACCAAGATTTCATTGCGCATGCTTGAGTATCCCAAGAAAGTGAAACAAATAACTGTATAGCAAAAACTGTTGGAACTTGAATTCACAAATCAAAACAGTTGGAACATAGACAAGAAAACCAAGATCTTGTTTTCTTTTTCAAAATCTCTTTTGTTAAAAAAACTCGAAGTAGGTTTTTGATTACTATTCAGAAATGGTAATTTTTTTTGCGAAGAAACAGTCATATATACACTTTTCATATTCATTAATACGCAGAAATATACAGTTTCTTGATTCAATTTGAAACAAACAGGGAGTCAGCAATAAGTAACTTTTTTTCTTAATTAAAAGTTAAAATCAAAAGTTTTAAGAATAAAAAATTAGTTGAAATGGTTTTGAAGGTGTTCTTACTGTATCTCTGACCACAAGAGAAGGGCTGGCGTTATTATTGCATAGATCCAAGCATACTTCCATTCCAGAATTTCCACAGCCAACTACCAATATTTTCTTCCCTTTAAACACCTCTCCACTTTTATATTTGCTTGTGTGCATTATAGTCCCACCAAATTCATCCATTCCTTCAATCTGTGGAACCACTTCCGCTGCATTTTCTCCGGTAGCCACGATCAGCCTCCGGCAGACGTACTCGCACTCTTCATCCTTCAGCCCTGCGGCACGTACTCGCCAAAACCCGAGATTCTGATCGTACTGAGCACACAAAACTGTCTGGTTGAAAACAGGCCTAATGTCAAACCTTTTTGCATATGATTCCAAGTAGTGAATGAACTGCTGTTTAGTAGGGTATGTTGGAAATTCTAGTGGGAATGACATCAAAGGAAGCTCACAGAATTGCTTAGGTAAATGAAGCCTAAGCCGATTATAAGTTTTAAGCTGCCATAAAGATGCTATACAATTAGATCTCTCTAAAACTAGGCTTGGCACACCTTTTTCTTTCAAACAAGCTGCCACAGCAAGGCCGGATGGCCCGGCCCCCACGATAACGGGCTCTGGTATCCACACGCATCGTTGAGACCTCTGAATCTTGTTATTAGGCCAGTTACAGTAGGGATCATGCACACTTTTCCCCTCTATTTCCCTTGAACAATCCATGGCGGTGTATAGGTATATAACAAACTACTAATCCAACTGTAACTTTTTTTGTTGAATCTTGAAATCTTAACTACTACAAAGAATCAGAATATGAAAAAGAGCAAGAAATGAGGAGAACCATCTGATCAAAACAACGTGTTATCGATGCAAAAAAGACTAGAGAGACTAGAGAATTTTTAGGGATAAATCTATATCTACTAATATATCCAGAAGAAGAGTAAGAGATTGAAATAAATACGTGGTGAATTCCGAAAGACGTGTGGATTAAGAGAAATTCTTAGCCACTTGTGAGAATGAATAAAATGATTGAAAACACCCCTTTTTTTTTATCTAAATGTGGGAGAGCGAAGACTACGGGACTTATCAATCAGCATTCATTTCTTCAAGAAGAACCTTGAGAGAGACACACACATATACATAGAGACGGAGTGGGTGGGGTGGGGGTGGGCACTGAATGTGATATTTCAAAATATATTCCTTTTGTTCAAAGAAGAGAAGTGAATTGAATATCAGAAGAAAAAAACAGGGTTCAGTGATAAACAGGAAGTAATGCTACCAGGGCAAATTTATAGTGTTTGAGTGGGGAGGGAAATGGAGTGCGGGTGAGAGTGGGGGTGAGGGAAGATGGGTAACAAAAGTATTAACCGCTTTTTAAAAATTGGATTTGAGTGATGAATTTAAAATCAAACTTACTAATCTTACCACAGAAATAATATTAAAACGTCGATGAAATTGGACAAAGTAATACCAAAGAAATGAATGCAAAACTCGAGGTAAGAATGAAACTCTTTGTCCTTAAGTCAATTTTGTCACGTAACGGTGCCTACGGATGATGGTAATCAACTTCCAAAGTATAACGATTAGCTTCTTGTGTTTGTAGCATTCCAAAACGCAGGAACAATGGACCAAAATATGACTTTTGTACTCCTTTTGAATGAAATGAAAACTTATTCATTTTTTTTATGCAGAATTCTTGCTAAGGAAATATAAATGTTTATGTCATTGTATGATCGTATATCATTAGGATGGAGTAAAAGACATCCTAAGGGTCTAATTTATAGAGGAGGATGAGTTGTGAGTGAATAGATACACCTTAAAACTCAGCAACCTTAGCCAAGGGTCACAACCTTTGCTATCCCTCGACTGTCATTTGAGCGACAATCTTATTATCCGCTCATCGCTTGAGCTATAGGCAAACAGTGGAGTTGGGCAAATACCCAACCGGTTTCCCTCTTTTCATTCCAACCTTGGACTATAATTTCTCATTCATCCTCAACTTCCAAAGTATAACGATTAGCTTCTTGTGTTTGTAGCATTCCAAAACGTAGGAACAATGGACCAAAATATGACTTTTGTACTCCTTTTGAATGAAATGAAAACTTATTCATTTTTTTTATGCAGAATTCTTGCTAAGGAAATATAAATGTTTATGTCATTGTATGATCGTATATCATTAGGATGGAGTAAAAGACATCCTAAGGGTCTAATTTATAGAGGAGGATGAGTTGTGAGTGAATAGATACACCTTAAAACTCAGCAACCTTAGCCAAGGGTCACAACCTTTGCTATCCCTCGACTGTCATTTGAGCAACAATCTTATTATCCGCTCATCGCTTGAGCTATAGGCAAACAGTGGAGTTGGGCAAATACCCAACCGGTTTCCCTCTTTTCATTCCAACCTTGGACTATAATTTCTCATTCATCCAGATTTGATTTTGAAATTCAAAATATACCATATTGATCTATTCGATGAGTAGAACAAGTTAATCTATTTATTTTCATAACTTGACCATTGATCAAGTTTGAATATTTGATCGAAGTGGACGCGAAAGTTAGTTTACCATAGTTTTATATTTAACCAATTCCAACATTAACTAGAAACAAATTTTGGGATTAATTTTTAAATCCTATTTTGGGTTGAGTTTAACTATATATCAACCAATCACAAATTGAAAGAGTTTCTACTTGTTATAGGATTGAGACCTATTTTTTGGACTTAAAATTGAGTAATTATATTTTATCAAGACTGATTTCATGTGATTGCAAGATTATAAGAATAAGACCTGACTGACAAATTTGAATAGAATAATTAGAAATCAATGGTCTTTTTCCGAGTCGATGTTTGAATTTCTAAATTATAGATTCATAGACAAGTTAAATTACCAATGCCATGAGAAATTATATAAAGAGAAAAAATTGCTTGATAACTAAGATCACAAAATACTAGCTGTAAAAATAGGTTGACAAGCCCATTGTTTTTAAAAAAAGCACTAAATTAGGAGCGTAGGGTCTCATTTTCAACTTTAGAGTAATTGAATCTAGAAACTTTGGGCTAGAATAACATGTATTAATTTGGTACTAGAATTGACAAATATCGTTTGTTTAAGTTTCATTGTCACCCATTTATAAAATTTGTAATTTTGTACGCAGATCATTCGTTGAACGGAAAATAATTCAGGTCTCTATTCAAGATAATATTTATCCCTTATTTGATCATCATTATTTTGAAAATATAATTTTCTCTTTCTTACTTTTAACCACATATTCTTAATAAAATAACATTATACTCAAATTCAAAATTGTTCCTTATTTTTTAACCACATATTTTCCATCAATTCACTATTTTAAAATGCATTTTTAGCCTTTTAATGGGGCTCAAACATAATCTAAATAAATAAATAAATTTATGTGATTTCTAAACCTAGTACTTCAAACTTTTGTATAAGATGAACGGATATAGTATTAGCTAAAATTTTGAATTTCTATCTCATCATCTGTTTATAAAAATTGTATTTGAATTATCTACTCGACATGCATATAGTGTTATGCATTACCAGGTTTGTCATACGTCACTAGGTCAGTCATACATAAAATTTAGAAGGACTTATTAATTAGGTGATTGAACATTAATTAAAGCCAAAAGAATATAATATATTAGCAACATCGTAAAATAATCTGAATTAATTAAGATAAGAAGTCAATTAAAAAAGTTGTTTATTCGTTCTTCTCATTGGTTAAAGACTTTAGTTATGATTGGAATTGGAATCTCCCAAAATTTTTTATTATTTATTACTTAATATTTACATTTGGAACTTAACTTTTAGTTTAAAACTTTGAAAAAATATATAAATTTCCTACAAATATATTTTATATGTTTGGCAAATATTATTTTTAATTATTAAAAAAAATTCGGTTGATTAAAAATTAAAATAAGAAAAAGCACTTTTACGCCTATTCCTCGCCTAAACTCACATAACCCATAACTTGGCCTCCATGTATCGTCACGCATTACGTCTTTTAGAACACTGGTCACAATCACAATCCTAGCCCGCCTTGGCCACAACACTAGTACAACAACCGCCACACAATCGTTGCCTGTACAACACCAACACAACCACCGCCAACAACAAAACGAACACAACCGAACGACAAGTCTCTTCTAGCGGTGATGCCAATATGCAAGGCGATTCAACATCCTAAACTGGTAGATCCACCACCACAAAACCGCCACCACACAAAACACCATCCAAACACAACCTAGCTGTTAGATCCACCATGCAACCAAGCAAACTACGAACGACAGAAAAAAAGAGTCGCGGGCAAAGGCGTTTACAGTGCCACCATCTTCGGTAATGGATGGAGCTCTTCTGTGAGAAGGGAAAATGTGCGGTGAAGCACAAACCTACACAAATAGGAGAAGATTTCAGCCGTCACTTCATGCACAGATCGTCACCTCAGCACTTTCTTTCGTAGAACTCTAATCTCTTCATTACAGCAGTATCGCGGTGCGCTTACGTGGTGGCAACAACAGACAAAGAGGAGGACATGATAGGGAGAGGAAGATGGAGAGTAAATGAGAAGAACGAAATGATAGGGTTTGTAATTGAATTGTATGAAAATATTTAATATTTAATTATTATGTTAATACCTAATTTGTGAATAATGAAACTTTAACCTTGATTTTTGAATTGTAATAGATAGGGTTTGTAATTGAATTGTATGAAAATATTTAATATTTAATTATTATGTTAATATCTAATTTGTAATAATGAAACTTTAACCTTGATGTTTGAATTGTAATAGTTAAAAAACTGGTGTTATGTAATTTCCTCTAATTTTAACATGTATGCGCAACTCTTAATCTTTCTGGTGTGAAAATTTCACAAGGTCCACTCATGCAGTCACCTAAGGCCTCACATTTAAGTAGGCCACCGAATTTTAGGAACTTATTTGCAAGTAGTTTCATTATCATAATGTTCGAGTGAAAATTTTCCTTCTATAATATTTTTATTCTAAAATGGATCAAAGGATTTCACCAATTCCGCTTCCATAATAATAAAAAAGTAAAAACACATATTTCATAAATTAAATTTTATAATAGAATTTCTAAAGCAAAATAGAGTAATATAATAAATAAATATTATCAATGGTAAAGTATATAGGTAACAAAATAATAACTAAAGATTAACAAAGAATTTTTTCGTCAGTGATAATTTAAAAAAAAAAAAAGAAAATTAATTGCCTTCAAATAAAATAATTAAAGAGATTAAATATTCCATTTAAAAAATTATGACTGTAATTAAAGGTCATTAAAAATTAATTTAAGATTATAACGAATTTGTAACATAGAAAATAAATAATTTTAACTTATCTAAAGAAAGTTTGTCAGTATAATAAACATTAAGAGTCTGTTTGAGCCTCTCTTTTTTTGTCCAAAATATATTTTTGAATAGTATTTTAATAGAGAATGTGTGGTTATAAAATAAGAAAAATTTTGATTTTACATGAAATGTTATTTTATTAAAAAATGTGTGACTGAAGATAAGAATGGAAAAAATGTATTATGACAATAATGAGAACCAAACAAAGGCTAAATAGTATGACATACTTGAATAGATGTCATTGTCATAACTTATTAGAATAGGAAAAATAAACTTTCATAGGTGACTCTAGGGATGTTAACGAGTCGAGCCAAGCAGGCTTGCGAGTCGAATCTCAAGGCTCGGGCTCGACTCGAGTAAAATCAAACGAACTTTTTTCGAGCCCGAGCCAAACTAAGCAAACGCTCAACAAAAAAAATAAGGCTCGGCCTTAGCGAGCCGTGCTAGAGCCAAGCCAACTCAATTCTCTCTCTCACTCTCTCTTTTAATTATTGTGGCAAAGGCAGCTGCTGGCTGTCTTATTTAAGGTAGTAGCCAGCAAGGCAATATTTTTTAATTAAGGCCCGAGCCGTCCGTGCCCGGAACCTAAAAATTGGACTCGGCCAAAGCCTTGGCTCAGTTCTCCCAAGGCTCGGGCCGAGCCGGCACGGGCTTTTTTTGGGCTGAGCTGATGAGCCTAATTGACATCTCTAGGTGACTCCAACAACTTATTTATCGATGATGAACTATTGAAGTACCGTTGGTGATTGCTCACTACATCATCGAAAATATTGTCATGGTAATTGTTTACAAAGGTACATTGGTTATAGCCAATAATATTAATATTTGTTATTCCATCAAAAATCTCTTGCAATTATTATTTTCCGTGAAATCATCTTCAT